GAGTAAATAACTGAATCGTACAAGCAATGCAAGTGATTTTTAAATATAAGTAATAATGTATTTGAAAAATAAAACAAACACTGCTCATTAAACTTTATACGATCATCATTCGTTTAAGTTATTGTATGCAATAGAAACTTTTATCCATGTATTTTGTTATAATGTGATAGTTTGTTTGAAATATGTGATGAATGTTGTATGCGTAAGAAATCTTACTTTTTTACCTATAAATGAAGAATTTAATATAGAAACCGAAGAAAACCAAATGGTTCTTCAAGTGCAAGGTTGAATGCTACACTGACTATCATTCAAACACTCAGATGGCAGCCGACCTCGTTCACCAAAGGACCGCCAAAATTCAGCACCTCTTATTTTAAGAGGTGATAACAAAATGTGTTATTTTATTTCACCACCATTTTTCGGTTCTCGTTTCCTCATGAAAGATCTTTCATCATTCCCATGGTAGACAACACTACACAAAGGCATATGTAGCCGAATGTTTGGCGTATAATGATTTCTTGTGTAGAAGTCTCATACTTGACGGACTTGACAACATACTCTATAATGAGTATATTCCGCTTACGAGATAGCCAAAGAATTATGGAATTCTTAACAAAGTACAAAACGACAAGCGTTAGAATTAAAAAGTTTTTTATCGGTAAATCCCTTGTGTGCGGATTTTTTTGGCCGAGAAATTGATAGTGAACGAAGCATTTCAAGTGGTGATAATTGTCGAAAAATTGTCTCCTTTGAAGGACTTCAAGAGTTATCTTATGCATAAACACAAAGAGATGAAACTTGAGGATTTGATCGTTCAATACTACTAATTTCCCGTAAAAGGTAGTGCAAAATGTCATGGACAAGATTAAAAATCCATGTTACAAGATCCATGTTACAAAATGTCAGAGCTCGATCTTTCCTTCGTGGTTCGAGTATTTAGTCGATTAAAAATCCATGTTACAAGATGCCACTATTAATAAGTTGTATGTGACAAATAATACGTCCATTTAGGAAATTATACCAATTTATATATCGTTCCATTTACTGGCTTTGAGTAATAATGAACCCGAGTTGATATTTACGTGGAAATCAAACATCGGTTTACTTAATTTCCCTCCTGGCATTTGATAAATTTAGGGGATCATAACATGGTTAACTTTTTCCTTGATTGTGAGCATGAATACAAGGACATTGTACTATGCTCCAACTATAAGCATGATTTGTCAAAGGTGTGAGAAAATCCAAAGAGGCTTGGGCTCATAAAATACATCAAAAGATTGTGAAGAAAAAGAACATCTTTCTATGAAACACAATTTACTTCTCATACTAGTGTGTATCTTGCAACAAACAGAAAACCATCAATCAACTCATCAAAATACTGTCCTGCAACTCCAGTTCAACCAAAGAGGATTATGGATGTAACATAAAAGACAAGATTATGGAAATAATGCTCCTAAGCCGACAAACAAAATCATTAATTAACTTAACTCATCGACCAGAAATCAATTCAAGATGTGCACGCCAGGATTTTATTACCTCGATAAATGTCCAAAAGTTCAGGAACATCCTTCTCGTATTTCTCAATATAGGTCTTCAAGAAAATCTTCTCGGACATTGTCAGCAGGGACGTGATAGCTACATTCTTCAGCCCCTTTTCATACAAAACCTCAGCAACTGCCCACCTCGGCTTCATTCTCCTTTCGAGGCTGTACCCAAGAATCCAAGAGCACCGGGCCACATCACCTGGTGCCCACCCTAATTTATCAACCAGAAAACCCATATTCGCCAAAATCTTCTTCTCGGATAAGGCCATGCAGAGCGGCTGACTCAGAAAGGCCGTCTTGATGTCATATTCCGACCAGCCACACTTTCTATAAACCTCCATCTTGCGCTTAAGGGTCGACTCATCATAACCCACCAAAACCCGAATGGCCTTCGAAAATGCATTATTGGACACGTCAAACCCCATTTCTATTGCACGATCCATGCACGAGGATAACTTCTCCTGAGGAGCCAAGAACATTGTTGGTTCGAATGTGACCAGTGATACAAGAGATGGCCAGGGAAACCCGCGGGATGCTAGAAACGAGAGGTTGGATTTGAGGTTGTCGACCAGGTACAAGTCGAAGATCATTGGAGTCCGTTTAAAGACTTGCACTACCAGCTTATCCGACCCGAGCAGGTTTCTCAGGAAATCGTATGAGGGGATGATTGAATTCTTCAGGTTGTGCCATAAGACATAAGGGGTTCGGGACAGACTGCTGGCCAGGAGGGGGAGGGGGACACCAATGGAGGCGAAAAATTCGAGCTTGGGCAAAAGGGTTTTGTCTGGGCAGGCACAGAGCACGTTCGGCCACCGGGTGACCATTACAGAGATGTCGGTGGCCGTGAATCCGTACTCTCTGAGAAGATTCAAGACCGCGTCTGGTTTTTCCGGCGATTTCAGCTGGATTTTACTGGAGGCGCGGACGGCGACGTCTGGAGCCAACCCGCATGAGCTGACGAGGTAGGAGAAAGTGAAGGATTTCTCAGGGTCATTTTCGCAAACACCTGGCGGTTGTTTACCGGTAGTGAACGGCCTGGAGAAGACCGCATTTTCAGAAGCCCTAAATTGACGGCCGGCCAAAATAGACAGCTCCGGTGGGAGACTGAGTCGTCTGCCTCGGAGAATCGCGAACATCGATTCGAAATTCGAGTTTGAATTCAACGGGCCTGGTGAGCCGACTAGCAAACGAGGGTTTTTCTATTTCGGGATTTTTAGAGGGAGAAGTTTTTAATGATCAGGGGTAGTGGGGTACTACTGCGTTTCTTGAAGAGGGAAATGAATATATACTAGTTTTTTACCCGTGCATTTGCACGGAAAGATATATGACAAAGGACAAAATAAAAATAAAAACAATAGTAAAAATAATACCATGGTCAATGATAACTCGGTTTCAACAACAAATATCTAAATCTAAATATTATTAAACACTTCTTTATATACAACGTTCGTGGTTTTCCTATCATCAAAATCTCCATCACCACAGATCATTATCTTCAGACCCCTCCGACTCGTGACTCTAGATAGTGCCACATACAACTGTCCATGACTGAATACAGGGTTCTTCAATAGTAAGCCGACGTGTGAAAGTGACTGGCCTTGACTTTTGTTGATAGTCATAGCATATGAAACCATGAGCGGAAATTGCCTGCGTTGGAATTTGAACGGCACCCTCAAATCGGATGGTATGATTGTCAGCCTAGGAATAAGAACCTTGTCACCAGCTCTGGCACCAGTTAAAATCTTGCATTCGAGGACATGGCTGCTGAGCTTAGTGATAACCAACCGTGTACCTGTTGACATCAAAACTCGAAAACAAAAGCATATGACTCAAATTTGTACAATGATAAAAAGAAATATAGATGACAAATGAATTTTGATGAACATTACCGTTACACAACCCCATGGAGTGATCAATGTTTCTGAGAAGCATCACTGGAGTGCCGACCTTAAGGTGCAGTTTATGATTCGGAAGTCCAGAGCACTTGATTCCATTGAGAAATTCAGGAGTGTGAAGATCCTGAAGAGAATCATATCCAGCATCTGA